CGGGACTCGATCGCGTTCGTACGGATAGGTAGGGCGTAACACCGAGGCCACGTAGGAGGCTAGTTCGAAGTTGGCGTTAGGGTCAGGCATGCTGGGCGATGAGAATAGACGAGCGCAGAGCTGTTATAGGCTCGTAGGGCCAGATTCGCTCCTACCGCAGCAGCGGCGGTCGAGAAGACTGCGTAGCTCCGTTTTCCAGCGAGTTTGAACTACGCGCGGTGAGCGATGACTCCCCAACATCAGTCAGTCAAACAACGTACCTATACTGGGAAGCACATGAGGGACCTTCTGGCCATGTGAAGATACCCACCGGAACGTGCGGACCCCGTCTACGTGGTCAGAAAGGGGCCGCAGAGTCTACCGGCAGGTTTACGTCGGCGCTGAGGGCGGCGCAAACTTGTCCATGTTCTCTTTGACGCCGACTATCTGCTGCGAGGGGCGTAGAGGGTACATTGGGATGCCAGTAGACCCCCTCCCCTCCTCCTGCATGAGGGCAACTGTGAGGTCGGAGTTTTCAGCCACAGGCGACCCCAACAGTAGGAAAGGGAGGGAGCGTACGTCGGTGGTGGCATGGGCGCAGCAGGCACTGGCAGCAGCTCGAAGGTCGCGCTCCACGCGCCGGACGTGCGCGAGTAAGGTATTCCCTGACTTCTGAATAGTTGTTGCCCGCGCAGACAGCAGACATGACATAGAGATGCATACGATTCGGTTTGAGGTTGAGCTCGGCCCCCCGGACCTCCTCAGTGTACTATGCGAGCCGCCCACGGGTCAGCCGGGAGTAATCTTCGGCAAATTGGCATACAGCTGGTTGCGAATTTTATGCCGGCCGACTCCGAACGACACTCGCGCACTTTCTGCATTGTAAAATGAAACAAATTCCATAAATCGCCCTGCACTATCAAACACCTAGACCACAAGGTATTCGACCCTTCTGGGTCCATAAGAGCCTGAAACATGATGAACAAGGGTGATCCACGACGTTCGTAGAAGGCTCTTTGCGAGGACCTCACGGGCGCTACTTTGCGCAGGTAGGCTGGAGCGAACAGACAGGCTCTCAAGAACGGAAGAGACAAAATTTGGACAGCAATTTACCTAAAAGACAGTGTTGATGGTCTATATAGGCTATTACAGACAGCTGCGTGGCAAGGGCGCTTCGAGAAAGCTGGAACCAGATGCTACTCAAACACCGCCTCTGTTGGCATTGCATGATGTGTCTGCTGACGAAGTTTGCACTGAAAAGGTATCAAGAGCACCTAAACATACTTTTTTTTACAGATATCAGAGCGGGGAAACGACATTGAAGCCCATGAGAGTTACGAAGATATGCCAATGTCTGAACCTCTTCCGGTGTAGGGTAAAGTTTGAAAGTCGGAATAATGAACCCGGTGTTTATTAACAGGTTATTAAAATGTTAATTAACGGTTCAAAAGCCCAGGGGTCTATCAGCCAGGTTATATATTGTTCAAAAGTCCGGTCGGAGGCTGTAGGCGTAAGATACCGAGTTCAAGGTAGATGGCGAGGTTAATCTCCGTGCCTAAGCCTTGCGCATGCTTTTGTGCAACCCAGATGATGGAGACAAGGATTACAATGAGGATAGGGTAGCAGATTGCGAGCCAGGACGCGTGGTGATCATCGATTCAATACGACTGTTAATAAACCTCGGCGGCGTTAGAAAATCTTCTTAACAGTTAATAACACAAGAGTTAATAACAGTTATTAATCCCGGTTAGAAACGGCCTGATTCGGGCGCCTGTTCATAACTCTCTGTTCGAAAACGATTCTTTTTCTAACCATACCCTAGTCGCCCATAGGAAACTTTCAGTGATTTCCCTCGAAAGGCATAAGTCGGGAACCAGGAGTCCGACGCTCTCCATTCAAGTTCGTGAGGTCTCATACTCGCTTGTATAAAGGCTATATACAGTTCATAGAGAACAGGGGAACGGAATGGCGGATGCATGAATTGTTTGATTTTCTCGATTTCTTTGATTTTCTCGTGGTCGAAACTGCGTCGGAGTTGGTCGGGCATAAATTTCGCAACCAGCTGTAGCGTATCGTCGCTCGCACGCTGGTCAGGCGGCTTGTCGAGAGGTTCGGCCAAGGCATTGGAACACTTCGTCCGGGGTTGTGTCATTGGGTATAGCAGCGACGTGAAAACGGAACATTGCCCACTCCGTCGCCTACTACCGGTCCCATGCATTGAGCGCAGCCCGCGTCCAGTCGGGATCCTCCTGCAAGACCGTGGTCCTAAGCGTGTGCGGCGAGCGTGAACGAGAAGCGCGTGGGGGGCACGGAGATGTGAGCAGGAGCTCGACGTCATCCTATATCTGCATATTCGCAAACTTCGAGAGCGGTCACTACATCCAATCAGAGCACATCTCTTGCAGAACTGCACCCGCCTCACGGAACCGAGCCACAGAAGCACGGAGCTCGCTGGCAGAGATTCCGTGACCACGGAATGAACCTCAAGTGTCAAGTGAAAATTCAGGATGGCGTGTCTGCGGCAATGTGATGGCGTGTGAGAATTCATACGCGACCTTAGTCCCTGCAATCATTGTCCTTCGGAGTCCTCGCGATGGGACCCGCACAGAAGCCTCTCCTGCCCACCCACTTTATCTCGTCTTCGCCGATATCCTCCCTATTGAAGAAGCACAGGCCTCAGAGAAGCAACCAGAAACATAGCCGTGCCCAAGAAGATGGCACGCACTTCCCAATAGAGGCGTGCCTTGACAGCGAGCATCCAACTTCGTGAGCTCTGATAAATTTCCTTGAGTCGTTACGGCATGGTAACCCCTTAAGAATTCTTCACCGAGCCCTTTTGGTAGCGATCTGGACCATCGTTGCTAGCTCCTCCTACATCTGACGGAATTATGCCACCGACGCATGTTGGTTTGTCCTCATGTGCTGCGGTGATACCAATCTATAAGTAGGGCTCATGTTGGGTCTGTAACGATCGAGCACCCTTCCGTCTCGCGCCAAATACTTCGCCCAGCTCAGTCTTGATCATGTCTACGACTTCAGAGGGGAGGAAAATTCGCCTGCAGGCGAATACCCGACCCTGTCTCCAGTGCGCCTGGGTGGGTAAGGCCGACGAATGCCGCTACAAACAACGGACGCAGAGTTGCGAGCGTTGCTTGGAGTTGAAAGACTCTCTGCAGTGTAGTGGCGTCAAGGGTGAGTCTCCCTCGCGGCTGACCTGGCATCATTTTTGTGGACATCCCCACAGGGCGCTACGCAGACCAAGACGACCTCGACGTTCCAACGCTCGTCCAAGACGTCTATTCCTGTCTCCACTACCACAGAATCCAGATGAACTCCGTCGACGAACGCCTTCTGGCAATCGAGAAGGCGCTGGGGATCGAGCAAGGCTCTGTCAACGGAACGAAGTATGATGGCGAGGAGGGCGAGGAGGGCGAGGACGAGAGCGGCGAGGGCGAGGACGAGGGCGGCGACGGCGACGAGGGAGAGGAAGAGGGCGGAGAGAAGGAGGCTGGTTCCGTTGCAGAGGACGATGACTCCGAGCCCTCGTCAGACGCTGAGCAGGTCGCACGACCGATCGAGTGTGAGGTCCCTGCCAAGAAGGCCCCGGGCAAGAAGGCGAGCGTGGATGGGAGGGACAAGGGCAAGGGCGTAGAAAAGAAGGGCGAGGACATGGCCGTAGTTACGAGGGCCAAAGGCAGGGCGAAGAAGACTGTCGACGGCCGCTCCTCCACGATTCGGTCCCAGAAGCGCCAGTCTGTAGGTGGATCTCATATGGCTGGAGATGACTGTAGGCTGAATCGCTGAATCGGTTTTGTAGGAGGCCTTATCTAGCTCGCCTGTGAAGAAGAAACGCGCCAACTAGCAAGGCAATGATCAGATCACTAGGTGAATGAGTCCAGAACATCAATGAGCCCGGAGTCAAGTACCCACCCCTCGTCCGTTGGCTTACAGGCAGCCCGAGGGCATACACCGGTTCTCTTGCATGGGGCCGTCTGCCCTGCGGTAGCCAAACGTTATGGATGCGCTTGTATTGAGCTGTTAGGGGAGAAAATTCTAGCCGTACACCCACCTGACGCCTGTGATCCAGCCCACGTCACTGACATTGGTGCGCCGCTGGTGCGGCCGCTTGGGGAGACTTTCACTATAGGCTCTTGAGGCTGCCATAGCGCTGTTCGCTTTGGCTGCTTTGTCCCAGAACTTACGCGCGTCGGAAGTCGGGTCCGCCGCCGCGCCCGCGGACCCGACGGCGCCCTGCACATCGACTTCTGCAAGGATGCCGTTGTAGCGGTGGAGGGATTCGCGTTGTTTGCTCGACGCTGGTGGCTGTTGCTCTACCTTATCGGCCTTAACTTTGGCTGCTGTCCTGCACGTGCAGCCGCCAGCGACTGGCCCATGCGCTCCTTGTCTGGCTGCTCCTTCCCGAGGTACTTGACGGGCGCCCCGACGACCCGAGCCAGTGCGTGCTCGAGCGGTTCCTCGACGTCCAGGTCCAGTCTGACAACGACGTTCGCCTCTGAGTCCTGGAGCTCTTTGGCCTGGTTGAGGAACTGCCAGATCACGTCCTCGTGCGACTTGGCTGTCATCGCCGTGGAGCGATTGGTGCTTGTCTTCGCGCGTGAAGATGTGATCTCCTCAAGAGCGGTGCACCGTGGAGAGCGGGATGTCAAAGGACCATTCGAGCGCCAGGAGCCGTGTGGGTGGGTTGAACTTCTGTGCGGCCTCGCGAAACTGGTTGCGGTGTTGGCTCTTGTCGCGCGTGATCTCACCGCACAGCACTCGCCGTACGTCTTCGTATCCTGGCGACAGCTTGCTCTTCGGCACGTTCGCCGCGCCCGGCACCCTGCTCAGCGCCGTCGTTACTTCGTCCAGTCGCGGTACGTCAGATAGGGCTGTTCGAACTTGACTTTGAGGAAAACGACGACCCCAGGAGTTGGGCGAGAGCGGCGGGCTTCCCGCGACTGGTAGGCGGGACGCTGAAATGCGTGCGGCCGACGAAGCCCTCGGATGCCTTTCCGTTCCACTTGCCCAAGCGCGCG